GACAATTATATACAATTTGCTCTTTGGAGATGTAATAATAATTGCAACATTACATTTCCCTTGGACATAATTTACGCACGAAGGAAATCGTATAATTCATTTGAATGCGCATTGAACTCGTTGCGCTAAACTTTCGTGTTGATCACGCAATCTTTTCCAAATTTTGTAATTTTTACATTCTTCGCTTTTAAAATGTTAAATATTTTTATACCAACAAATAAAAGCATAGTTTTGCGCGCAAAAATAGAATAAACCAATAATGTTTTAGAATTTTATTATAAAGTTTAATTTTGTTGCAGTGCTTGGAACTATTTTATTATTGCTTAAAAAATTACGTCAATTCTAAGTTCAATTCCAAGTTTGATCAAATTGGAAACTCAAATTCGAATTTCAAATTTTTTCAAGTTTATAAACAATTAATTAGAATTAAAAATTAAAAATCAAACTCAAATTCAGATCTCAAATTCGACAAAATTTGAATTCGAATTTGACCTCAAATTCTGAATTTAGTTGAATTTTTTTGAATCGAATTCAAAATTCCGAGCTTAGATTCAATTTTTACCAAACCGGATCGGATATCCGGTTTTGCTCACCGTTAGTTAAAACTTTTAACTATGATATATATCTGAAAAATTATATATCATAGTTAAAACTTTTAACTATGATATATAATCTGAAAAAACAAGGCTATGTACTGAAAAAAAGAAAATACCAAAAAAAATATTTCAACAAAACACAATAAACACATTTAGTTTAGGACTATATAAGTGTTTTTAACAATAGTGTTTTTTTAAATTCTTGAATGAAGAACACAATTCACATATAAGCAGGTGTAAGCCTGGTGAGCATTCTTCATGAGCCCATTTTTGGCAAGCCTGACATTGAATCCACTGTTCTATTGATCTGCTGTTCCTTTATTCGAACAAAATTTAAATTCTAAGACTATTTTAAATCCGTGGATGACAAAAGGTTTAATGAAATTATCAAAGAAAAAAAAACTATATGAAAAATAATGAAACGTATCATAATGAAATAATATACAATAACTACAATTTTTTTTTTTGAAAAAACCAAGAAGTTTTCAAAAAAATCTCATTATGAAAAGCTATAGGAAAAAACTAATAGAAATACAAAAAAAACTTGGAAAATAATCTAAGAAATAATTGGTAAAAATATACTTTTTTTTTCAATATTTTTATTTAGGTGCCCCAAGAAGACCTACCGGTCTTGTCACAGAACACCGCGGAAGTGCATTTAACGTGCATTTAACTAGGAAGTTCACACCTGCTATTCCTTACTATTAACCTACTTCCTTACTTCCAGGCTTGGTCGGGAAGCGGATGCGAATATATATATATATATATATATATATATATATATATATATATATATATATATATATATATATATATATATATATTTGTCGCTTAGGTAATTGTGATTAGTTAATATTAAACTTTTCTTTTGTTTAATTTACAAATGATAGATAAAATCTTAGATACTAAGAGGTGTTATTATTTCAACTTATCCATCATATACTTCGATAAAAAGCATTTTAAAGTTTAAAACGTTAAAGTTATCCATATGGAGAAATACCTTCGTCCTGAAGGATTTTACGCAAGTCCAAACTCTTCAACGTCAAGTAAAAAATGGATTCACTGGTTTAAAACTTTCCAAAACTACTTTTTATCCTTGGAATCTACATCCAATGAAAAGCTAAGAAAATTGATAAAATTTGTATTATCAACTGCTTATGAAAACATATCCAATTTGCTAACTTTTGATAGTGCAATTGAAGTGCTCACGTTGTTGTACAAAACAAAAAACGAAATATTCACACGGCATCAATTAGTAACGCGAAAACAACAATCTGGCAAAACGCTAGAAGAGTTCATCCAAGCTCTTCGAACCCCTTCAAAAGATTACAACTTTTACAAATAAGTAACAGCCAATATATATTGCGATGTGTCTATCTAAGACGTATTCATCACTGGCTTAAACTCAAGTATAATACGTCAAGGCCTGCTGGAAAATAAGCCACTCATATTAACATCAGTGTTTGACCAAGCACGCTCAATAGAATTTGTCACAAATACCAGAAAGGATGATATTGTGTAAAAGTATGTAAATCGAATAAATTAATAGCTGTTGCTGAACCCGATGATATGTCTGCAATGATAAGTGCTGGAGCTCCTAATTGTCTTCTACACACTGTTCCGGAAGCTCTGACAATTTTATCAACAAATAGATAATTTAAAATTTATAAGTTAGTATAATAATTTACAAATTGTGAGCGAGTTTATAAGTACCAAATCCAATATGTAAAAAGTAGCTGTAGTCTATTCATGGTATCCTCGTCACTCAAGACAAAAATCAAAGGCTATGCAAGGTAAATATGACTTTCCAAAATTAAAAGTATTCTGACATCATATTTTCAATCTTACCTGACTTACGTGCTAATGCTATTCTTAATTAAGCTTTTATGAAACAACTTAGCAACAAAACAATAACTTTTGGAGGAAAATTACTCCCTTAGTTTGCAGTCTAAAGAAATTTCAAATATCTCCAACATCATAATTTGCAAATCTCTCCAAAGACTGTCATCCAAAATCTGAAACTAAATCTCAAAAATTCAGTTAGGTCGATAAGCTTTTCATTTAAACAAAAATAAAAAAGTTATTAAATGACAAAATTATAGAGCCATAGAAGCAAATCACCTTGGAGGACACAAATCTTACTCACTACAAATGAAAGACACAAAAAAAAATGTGTGTCGATTATTCCCAAACAATAAACAGATTCAATTAACTCAGTGCTTATTCTTTACTTAGAACGATCAGATCAACAAGTTGTCTGTGTACCACTTTTTTGGTATTCTTGATATTAAAAGTGCCGACCATCAAATACCACTTTTACTTGAAGATAAACCTTATAGAGCGTTTAAAACCGATGGTAAGTTGTACTAATTTACTCGTTTGCCATTTAGACTGTTTATCAAAGGAAAAAAAAAACTCTTTAAAAGAAGAAGTTCTCTGGAAGGGGAAACATTATTTGACCAGACGCCATTTTAGCTTAGTGATAAGCTGTTATGTATATACTCAACATCAAACACTGAGGCGAAATTAAAAAAGACAAATTATAAGATGGCGTACTGAACACGGTTGCTACAGCTACGATATATAGTATTGACCAGGTAAATGTAACCAGGCAGCTGATTGTTTAACACTTTCAGATCTCTGGGTTCTGAGCCAGAACTCTAACCACTGCGACACGGCTGCTCAACATTAACTAAAAATTATTATATCTTTACAAATAATTACAAATACTCGCAATTTCAATTTGCTTTTCTGATACTTTCTTCTTTGGCGTTAAGGTGTCTCAACTTATATTGATTCTGATAGAGGCAGCTCTCTAATATCAGAGAAACTACGTAATTTTCTGAATACTCGAGGTGTTACATCTAGCAGAACAACGACTAATAGTCTTTGAGAAAAAAGACGAGAAGTACGCTTTAACGGGATAATATGGAAATCAGCGGAACTAGCTCTCAAACCAAGAAATCTTCCAGCTGAAAACTAAAAAATTTTGCTACAAAATGCATTACACTCAATACGATCATTACTGTGCACTGCAATAAATGCAACGCGACATGAGAAGTTCTTCAATTTTTCACGGAGAACTTCAAACGGACAATATATCCAAACCTGGCTGTTATAACAAGAGAGATTATTTGTAAAGAAACACCTTTGATCTAGCAAATACAATCCCCTAGTTGAAGAAGTTGAGCTAATAGAAGCTGAGCCACTGTATGCGCACATCAAATTTCATGCCGAAGAGAATTTACAGGATCTATAAAAGATATAGCACCATTTGGAGCTAGGAAACCTCCCCATTCAGATAATGAAAATACAGATAGAATTAATACCAATCACTAAGTGTATAGTTTACAACTCGATAAATCTCTAGTTACAGAAAAAAATACCTTACTTGATCCAGAATCCGACGTTGTAACGCAATCGCATATGCAATCTAACCATCTTCCTAAACAATCACAACGAAACCGCAGAGCGCCCCAAAGCTGCGGTTTTGAGAAAGAACAAGTTTAATGATTGGAAGAATGTCATAAATAATTACTAATTATCTCCCTCGGGGAGTTGCGTTGCTTTATTACTTGTGTATATAACTACTACGTTATATATATATATATATATATATATATATATATATATATATATATATATATATATATATATATATATATATATATATATATATATATATATATATATATATATATATATATATATATATATATATATATATATATATATATATATATATGTCCCTTAGGGAATTTAATTACTACTTTATATGTATAAGTCCCTTTGGGAACTTTTCTATTGTATAATTTACGTTTGATAGATAAAACGTCCACAGTTCATACGCACATTTGTAAATTTTTTTTTATACTCTGAAAAAAAGAAAATAAGGAAAACAAAGTAAAACACACTTTCTTCACAAAAAAAAAAAAGAAAATAAAGAAGTCAAAGTTATAAAAAAAATAAAAATAAAACTTTTTTTTCAAAAATAAACACATTTTTTTCAAAATAAACTTTGTTTTTATTAAAGACATATTTTTCAAAATATATGAACCTCATTTTAATATTGTGTTTTTATCCTCCTCCTGGTAATTGCCATGTGGAGGCCACATACCAAGTCCCGCGAAAACGAGTTGAGCTTACTAAAGAGTATCATAACCCGCTTCAACGGAGAAGACTAAGTGATATTAAGAAAAACAAAGAATATTAGAGTGATAGACAGAAGAAGTCGAGTTACAAAGATAACGAACAGATATTGCACTGTATGTTAGTATTTGCAAATTATACAAAAGAAATAAACACAAGAAGAAGATGTAAATAGTAAGGAAGAAGATGTTATAAGTATGCTAAATTATGTATAATTTAATTTAAAAATACCATTTAAAAATAATATTATTATAATTATATAATTACAGAAATATATTTACTGTTTGTGAATATTTTACATTATTTTGGTTGAATGTTTTTTTCAGTTTATAAGTAGGTGTCTTTAAGTTGCGAAAAACTTCCAGTTGAAATAATGGGTTCTTTCTTTTTTGAACAGTTTTCTTGTAAGCTTTTTACTTTTTTAAATGAACTTACAGAATGTATTGTTGCTGTGGAAAATATGTTCATTTGACTTGATGAGCCAGCTTCAATTGCGTTTTTGGAAACATATTCAGGTTCATTGTAATCATTAAGTTCTATCTTATCAACTCCAATTTTCTCTTCGTCAACTGACATTCTTACACCGATTGTTCTTTTAATTATCCAAAACTAAAAAACAAAAACAAAAAAATATTTTCACTAATCAGTAGTTACATTCCAATTAATTGTATCTTGCATTTTTTGCGCGTTTAAAGTTTATTCCATAAAGTATTCACGATAGTGTAATCTTTGATTAAGCAAAAAGATTTTTGGCAATTTAAAACGATCTTAAGGATCAAAAGTATTCAAAAGGATCAAAAGTATATAGAAATAATAATTTTGATGTATAATGCTTAAAATTTAATCGAAATTTGACGAAAACATCTTTTTTTCAAATTTTGTTTTTGTTCTCCTGTAAAATTATGTTTTTAGTGAGTGAGTACCATCTATTACTATATAACTACTAGCTATTGCCATATAACTACCACCTATTGCCATATTACTACCAAATTATAAAACTCAAGATTTTACTAAATTGTGTTAAATAACTTATAATGACATCATATTTAAAGCTGAGGTTTTATTATACTATACTGTGGCGTAACTAGGAGGGAGCACAACCCGCAAGGTGGGGGGTCCTGGAGCTTAGAGGGCCCCGCGGAGCTTTACAAATTTTACTCATATGAATAATATGACTGGTAATAATAATATGAGTGTTACTAATTTCTTTTTTATCAAATACATTTTATTAATTTATAATTTTTCACGTATCCCTACGGACATTTTTTTTTGAAAAGTTACATTCTTATTTAGAACGTTTAGAATTTCTAAAGGTTGAAAAAACTTAAAGTAAAGTAAAAAAGTAAAGGAGCTCCCTATACGCCACTGATACTATAGTATATATACGTAGGTTTATGCATATCATTGATAAAATCTCTAAAATAGTTATATGAGTAGAGTTGGTAGGTCAAAAAATAACATTCCCACAGTTACGTAACAAGGGTAATTGGCCAAAACAAATTTAAGCAATCTTTTCAAGAAAAAAAGAAACTTTTTTTTTTGTTGCTCTTTCTTCTTTTTGGACGCTCCTTTGTTTGTTTGCGCACGGGGGAAAAGGTATATTGGCTCCCTCTAGTAACAGTACTGCATCTTAACACGCACAATAGTGCTGTTCAGGATAGGAAGGCAAAACTTCGTAACTTTTTCCATTATGCTATCAATGCTTCGTCGAAAAATAATTTTTACAAACTTGTGATTTGTGGTCCTTGGGTCCATCAGCCATTGAATATGCACCGCACTTTTTTAGTTAATTTCCATTTACTGTTTTTTATAGTCAAAAAATCATTTTTTTAAAAAAGTACTGATATTTCAAGAAACTTTTAGTAATATATAAAAACTATACGTACAGATCACAAATAAAACAAAAACTCAAATATATTTAAAAAAATTATTTATAAAGCCTTTGCTCTCAAAAATGTTGTTTAACTTACAGATATTGCATTTAATCCACCGGACCATATCGTAATCACAAGTATTGCAACAATGTTATATGCTAAAAGTCTTCCACTCCCTTTTCTGAATACTCCGCCATTGATTGAGTTGTCGCCTGGTCCCATGTCAGCAAAAAAACCGGTTGCAATCATGGCCCAGAACCCGGCAGCATAATGAACCCCAAATGCTCCAACAGGGTCATCAATTTTCATGATTTCAACCAATTTAATTGCTGTAAAAATATGGCTTTTATAAATTAAAAAAAAACTTATTTAGTTCGGGTATAAGTTTAAATAAAACTAATTTCTTTATAACTACATAGTAATGTACAATAACAAAGAAAACTTTTGTACTTGCCAGTAAAAAAAAAGTTCTGAAACATCATATAGATGTTATCATATGATGTTTCAGAACTTATAAATATCATAAAGAATGATAAAAAATTTTTTATAGAAAATAATGTGAAAAACCAATTTTAGAATTAATTAAAATTTATTCCAAATTTGCAATTACTAGCTCCAAAAATTAGTTAACTAAAATACGCTTTGATACAAGCTGCATTAAACTGTGGATATGCTACTACTATGCATATACTATACAATCACATACATCATGTAGCGTTGATAATGCTAGTTTATTAAATGAAGTAAATTCATCAAGATAAATACCAAGGAACTTAGAGTTCATAGTTTTAGTTTATTAAATAAAGCAATTACCAAGTTTGGTCTGAAATACTTTTTAGTAAAAAATATTTTTGCTCTGTTTCGAAGCTTGGCTTCGAAACAGAGGCTTCGAAACACTTCGAAAGTTGGCTAAAAAAAGAGAGGAATGTTTAAAATAACTTAAAGAAATCAAATTGGAAAAATTGAAAGAAGCAAGTAAAGATTAAAAGAAGCGAGTAAAGATTGAAGGAAGCGAGTAAAGATTGAAAGAAGCGAGTAAAGTTCAAGAATTCAGCAGTTATTTTTAGGCAATGGTACTATATACTACTCACAGAGCACTGCAAAAGATCATTTAACTAGTTCACGCCTCCTTCTTTACCAATGTTGCTTATTGGGTGAGAACCTGCGTTAAATCACAGACCTCTTAGTTTTGAACCGAAACGTTAACCACTGACACGAAACATTAAATACAAAAGTGATTTTGACAGTAAGCATGTAGACCTGTCCTGTCAATTTTATAAGTCTGTGAAAGAACTGCCATTATTGTACCAAATGATACAAAAGAAAAAGAAAAGAAGAAAGGAGAGATAAAAGAAATGTGTTTGTTAGATGTTGTTCTACAACTGAGAATATTGAACCAACTTTTGAAACGTGACGTTGAAGAACAATTTGACATTTAAAACCTAAAGTTGTTAATACTTTTAATTAGAAAATGAGAACAACTATTTAATTTTAGAAGGATGTGATAATTGTACGAAAGGCATTTGTTTCTTTTGTTCATATATCAACACCTTTGAAAATCGATTTTAATGTCTTTCTTACAAAAATCATATGATATTAGTATGAAAGACATTGAAAATAAGTGATTAAAACTTGTATACTAACATAAGTTTCTAAAATTTCATCAAAATAATTGAAATTTTACTGCGGTTAACCACAATAAAATTTTAAGTAATGAAGGAGAAGAGCGGAATGTAAATTTATTATAATATTTTATTAATTCTTCAAGATCTGAAGATCAAAATCATCAAAATGTCCTTTTTGTATCACGGAAAAACCAAAAACTTCTTTTAAAATCAAGCAAAGAAGTGTTTAATAAATGAAGGGTCCAGGGGAAAAACGATGAGATTCCAAATTTGCCTGAAAAAATTGTACTAGTGCTATCTAATAGCATTTTTTGTCCCCTTTCAGAATATCGTATTGCTAAAAGGAAAAAACAATGGCCATCCTACGAAAAAAGCGTTTTAAAATTGCCCATCCCATCTCTTTACAGCGTGGCGTCATACATTGCCTCTCTTTAAATTTTTTACCTTAAGTTATTGCTTAAATTAGTATTAATTAAACGTTAATAATCATTTTATTATAGATAATTTCGCAATGGATAGTGATTACCACCCAACCAGCTCTGGTGAAGAAAGCCTTGATGACGTTAGCGAATGTAAGTTTTCCGTGGTATGTGAAGATGAAAGAAAGCGACTACTACGTGAGTAAAACAGCTTAGACTCCTATGATCTGCAGAGTCACTATTTGTGTGGCTTAATTATCGAGAAAGAAGTGTAACGTCGCCGCTCAAAAAATCCGGATACTGCAACCAAATTCAACGCTAGTTATGAGTACAGAGTGGGAATAAAAAAGGATGAAACTTTTACAGATGTACAAGTCTGTTACAAAGCTTCATTCAATCCATGGAATTACAGTTTGCTGTGTTCAAACGTTGCAAAGTACTCTTGTTACTACAGGTAAATGCCCAACTTATGGTCGAGGAAAACATTCAAATCGCCCTGATAAAATTAAGGAAGACACAGTAACTCTAATGTTCAACTTTATTAAATCTTTACGTGGACGTAAGCCTCATTATTCGCTTAAAGATTCGGATCGTATTTCTTTGCCAGAAGACCTGCATGTTTCGGATTTATCTACAATGTTTAATGAAAAACATCCGGGCAACAAGGTGTCTTATGAAGCATTTTGCGAAAATTTCCAAACGAAGCACAACATTGCATTTGGCTGTCCAACGAAAGATACGTGCAGACAAAAACTGTCACAAGATATGTGAAGATAAAACTGTCACAAGATATGTGACAGTTTTATATTCGATGAAACAAGCTTACAAGCTAAAATTGAAAGTGCTAGTGACGCGGAGAAAGCCAAATTCACAATGGAATTGGAAAAAGCAAGAATGGAAAACACACTGCACAAGAAAAAAACTAACAAGTTCTACGAGATTAAAACTGACTATTGTAAGCATTGTATAAAATCAAGTAGTGTTGAAGCTACCACTATGGATTTTGAGAAGAACTTGCCAACTCCTAATGAGACAAGTAATGATGTCTACTATCGCTGGCAGTTAAATTTCATCTCATTTAACATTCATGTTCTCGCAACTGATGAAGCTTACTTCTACACATACGATGAAAGTGTTGCCGAAAAAGGAATTTCACAATGATAAATACACATTATTACCGTTTAAAACGCATTAGTGGACTTTATTTTACAAAGTCTATATCTCGGAATAGTTATTTTATATGCACTTAATATACGCACACGTTTTTATCAGTTGTGAAAGTTTGTTTTGCTCATATCTCAAAATGAGATTTTTGGTTATCTCGATAAAGATAACCAAAAATCAGTAAATAATATATGATATATATTATCAACTCTTGAACGGTATTCTCTTAGTCTTTTCTTTTCATTTTATGTGTCCAAAATAATATATATATATATATATATATATATATATATATATATATATATATATATATATATATATATATATATATATATATATATATATATATATATATATATATATATACATATATATATATATATATATATATACATGGATATATAAACAAGTATATACATGAATATATAAATAAGTATATATATATATATACATATATATATATATATATATATATATATATATATATATATATATATATATATATATATATATAAATATATATATATATATATATATATATATATATATATATATATATATATATATATATATATATATATATATATATATGTTATATATATATATATATATATACATATATATATATATATATGTGTTTTTACTAATTTATATATATATATATATATATATATATATATATATATATATATATATATATATATATATATATATATATATATATATATATATATATGTATATATAGAAATTAGTAAAAACACATATCTAATTTTCTTCAAGAATTTGTTTCACCATCAGTAGATTCATCAGAAAGGCTTCCCGATAAAACTACTGATGGTGAAACAACTAGTCGAAGAAAATCAGATAAGTGTGATTACTAATTTGTTATTACTCTGTTTTTTAAGAACATTAAGACACTGTAGAAACAGTGTCTTAATGTTCTTAGAACATGCTAACATAATTATTTTATGTGTGTGTGTGTGTGTGTGTGTGTGTGTGTGTGTGTGTGTGTGTGTGTGTGTGTGTAAGTATGTAGTCTAGCCAGTATGAAAAAATTAAGTATTATTAAAATCTAACTCACTTCCGTTTGCAATGAGACCACCACAAAAACCTATAAATAAACCTTCCCATGGTCTTATAACATCACTGCAAGCTGTGATAGAAACAACTCCAGCTAACAGACCTGATGAGAGTTCTGTAATGTCTATTATGTACTTCCTTTTTTTTCTTAATGATATTGAGAAAACAATTCCAGATATTCCACCAGCTATTGCACCATTCATAGTTACTACAGCAACCCTGCTAGCCACCTTCCAACTACCTAAAAAAATTTAAAACATCATAAAAAATAATTGCTTTAAGTTTAAATGTAAAAACATTTAAATTTAAATTTTTGAAACCATGCCATGGTTGTTTTTGTTGTTGTTGTTATTGTTGTTGTTGTTGTTGTTATTAATGTTGTTGATGTTGTTGTTGTTGTTATTAATGTTGTTGTTGTAGTTATTGTTGTTGTTATTAATGTTGTTGTTGTTGTTGTTGTTTTTTTTAATGTTGTTGTTGTTGTTGTTTTTAATGTTGTTGTTATTGCTGTTGTTGTTGTTGTTGCTTATGCAGTTGTTTAAACAGCTCAAAAAAACCTAATTTTTAAAATAGAAACAAGTTTGAAAGTTTGGGTGCCCCGTAAATGACCATGAGGACTTCTTCGAGCACTTTAAAAATTAGGCAGAAAAGAATATTAGATTTTTTAAAATGAATTAACGAAATTTAAAACAAATAAAAGTATTGAGAAATTAATGTATTTTTTTATGTTTTTATATTTTTTATTCATCATTATTTTATTGTAATTATGATCTATTTTGTTATAAAAATGATATCGCATAACATCTATTTTTAGGATCTTAGCATTTTAATATATAAAAAGTATAGATGCCATTTTGGATTGATTACGCTTTATTAAATATTAAAATCTTACACACATACTTTTTATTTTTTATTATGCTTCTTGAACAAATAAAAAAAATTCAAATGAATATTTTTTCAAAATTTGTTCAAAGCTGCATAGATATAATGTTGCAAAAAAGTATATAAAGTTTTTTTTGAACAGAAGTATTAAATCATACAAGCTTTAACATTTCTAAAAGTGGTTTTTGATATCATAAAATATTTATCCACTTTTTACTCCATATTTCAGTGAATAATGGATAAGATACAACTTAAAATTCGACATACAGCTATCTAAACAATTAATGATCTTAAAAAGAAAGTCTGAGTTCGCCAGGGGATAAATAATTATCTTGATATATTTATGAAAAGTAATTATCTTGAAAAGTAATTATCTTGATATATTTATGATCTAGTAAAATTGAAAAAAGATTGTCCAAATTTTTCTTTTTTTTTTTTTAAAAAAAAAAGAAAAAATTGGACAATCTTTGATCAAAATTTTGTAAACCATTGTCCTCGCCAATAAGATTTTTTGATGTTTCAAATAAAAACAAACTCAAATCAAATCTATCGTTCTTTCCTTTTTCAATGGTTTTTTAAGAATTTTTTGGCGTATTGATGAAATGCAAAAGCGTCATCTTATTAAGTTGAAAATTTCAAAAAAAGCTAGAATTATGCAAAAAATAGAAGATTAAAAATTGAAAACATTTTTTTTTTTTAGTAATTTTTATATTAATTACTGTAATATTGCTTGCGAAATGGTCAATCTGTCGTAAATAAATAAATAAATTTATAAATTCAAATCTAAAAAATAAAGCCGTCTCATAATAAATGCCTAATAATTAAGGTTTATCCTTTTCCTCTTTTCCTGCCCCCCCAGAATAAAAAAAAAGTTTAATATCAAGGTTCAAAGTTGAGCATCAGTTTAAAAAATATATACAGACAGAGACGTCCCGAAAAAGGACGTAAGGGTGCCTAACCCCTTACGAAATTAATTAGTTGGCAAATTTGGACCCTGCAGTCGGCAAGCTCAGACCTGTAGATGGAAGTTGGTACATAGGAAATTAATTAGTTGGCAATTTGGACACTGCAGATGGCAAGTTCAGACCTGTAGATGGAAGTTGGTAAATATTATCCAACAAGGAACTTTTTTTTTTATTTTGGTATCAACATCCCCTCCCCCCCCCCCCAATCTTCTCACCAAAAAATCCTGGAACCGTTATTCATAGTAATAAAGTAGTAGCTGTTACGATGAATAAATAGATTTTAGAGCCTTTTAATCACTCAATACATCAATGAGTAGAAAACACAACCTTGTTATCATTAATGAGTAGAAAACAAAATTGTGTTGTTTTATCAATGAACGTAAATTACGTACTTACGTAGCAAGTTTTGTATGAGTCGTCAAAAAACACATAACTCTCCTCCCCTAATAGCGTGACGTAATTTCTGGACGACCCCTTAGCATCAATGAGTAGAAAACAAAACTGTCTTGTTAGGATTTTTTTAACCAAGTTAAAAAAATTTGCTTCAAGCGAACGCTTGTGTTTGTATAATTTTACAAGATGCAAAAATGAATCTAAGAATAAAATCTTGAATCTAAGAATAAAATCGGGACCAAATCAACAATAACTTGGGCATTTTCTTCCTTTTGATATGGATTCCGTGACAATCAAGTCGTCATATTTAAAAAACCACCCTGAGCAAATCAGTTTGTGTGATTTTGAACTGAAGTTTTTTCATAAATTTTCATAAAAATTTTTTAACATTAAAATTTTAATGGTAATTTTAACAATAAAATAGATAAATTTAAGCTTAAATGAACTCGTGTATAGCTGAATATAGTTGGAATAACACAAACTATGATAATAAATGATAATAATGATAATTTTCAAATATGTTACAAGACTTCATTAAAGTGAAACCAAAGTACATTTTTAATTACAATAATGGAAATTATAATTCAATATCAAAAATTATTAATGAAAAAAAAATACGGATTTGTAAAATCAAAATTATGTACAACAAATCTTCTTGAAACAGTTGACTTAATTAATCCTTTTAGCTAATAAACTACCAGGTGATTTTATTTATATCAATTTTTCTTGTTTGACACCGTACCTCGCAGACATTTAGCTTTAAAACTTGACGCGTATGGTATATGTGGAATACTTTGAGGATGGATGAAAGGGTTTATAAATAATAGACACTGAAGACTCAAATAAGTTGATGCTGTCTCTACATAGAAAAACGTTTTGAATGGTGTACCTCGAAGTTTCGTGCTTGGAACGTTATTATTTTTTAGATTTTTCAATAATTTTTCTGATTACCTTCAAAATATAACAAAACGTTTTACCAACAATACAAAAAACTTATTAACAGAGGGAAATATAAGAAAGTAGAAAAATTCAAGTTGATTTAATATTAAATGAAAAATCCTTTTTTTTTGACCAAGCTGTCGTTTGGTCAAAAAAAAAGGATTTTTCATTTAATATTGGCTAATGTCTTGTGATGCACTATGGAACAAAATTTAAGAATCATTCTTATCTAATCGATAGAAGAGAACATATTTGTAGAGACGGACTTGAAAGTAAATTTTATGAATTATCTACAGTGGAAACAACGAATTATAACATTTCATCAAAAGCAAATTCAATCTTAAATGAAATTATAAAAACCTTTGCACATCACAACAAATTATACTTAAATTACTATAAAAAGTATTTGTGCGAACACATATTGAGCTTGCTGCCCCTGTTTGGTTTGCAAATATAAAAGGATATAATAATAATAATAAGGAAAAAGTACAAAGACGAGGAACTAAAATAGTTCCCAATCTAAAAAATCTTTTATACTAAAATTGTCTAAAACTTTAGTTTAATAACTATGGTGAAGAGAAGACTATTATGAGGAGAAATGATATAGATGTTCAAAATATTCAGCAAAAAAGAAAACGTTAAGCTCATCAATTTACCATTATTTATAAGCCTAAATACAAAAGATTACGGGTTTGAATATGACCGGGAAATGCTGCTATTGCAATAATTTTCTCTAGTTGACAAAGTGAGACTCAATTACTAAAGGTGAGTTTCCACTCATCCGTTTTTTTTACAGGAACGGGATAGGAAAGGAAAAAATAATCACGTGAGCATGCGCAGTTTTACTTCGGACAAATTAAAACTTATAATACGCATGCCCACGTGATTGTTTTTCCCTTCCCTTTCCCGTTCCCGTGAAAAAACGGATGAGTGGAAACTCACCTTAAGGATAAAAAGGTTCGAAATAAAACTATTTGATTAATTATATAAGGTACAATTTGAATTTTGAAAGAAACAAATATTCTGTTAAGCTAAGTTTCACTCAATTCTATGTCTATTACTTATTTATAGAATAAAATCTTTTTGTTGTATAAGACACATTTGCATTCAGAACGCACACACGCACGCGCGCGTACGCACGCACACAAAATAATAACGCCTTTAAATTTATCAATTAATGTAAACAAACTCTAATAATGACTTGTGAATTTTTAAAATTAAACATAAGCTTTATTTGTTAAAAATGTTATACTTTTTTAAAAAAGTTCAATAGCATATCTTTTTTATTTTAAAATCATTTTCCTTATTAGTCTACTAAAAAATTAAAAATGTGTTTTGCTAATTGTTCATAAGTAAAACGACTTACCATTACTTATTATAAATGTTGATCCACAGTTAAACCCAATCCAACCCCACCATAAAAAAAACGTTCCTAATATAACATTACTTCCACTGGATATTGTATATACTTTTTTTGGTTCATCAAATTTTCCATATCTTGGACCAATAATAAAAGCAGTTGAAAGTGCTGCAGCGCCTCCCGCCATGTGAACCACACCTGATCCTGCAAAATCATGCGCACCTTTTTTAAGTAACCATCCGTTTTTATCCCAAAGCCAATGTGCAGGAAACACGTAAATAATACCTGTATTTAGGATTACAACAATCATGTATGCGAAAAGATGTATACGTTCAGCAACAGCACCTGTCCGAATTTATAAAGAAAAGTAATAAAAAGATCATATTTTATATTCATACTTCATGTCTCATACAATACTGCTTTCATCTTTTATATTTTAAATTTTATTTAAAGTAGTATTAATTAAACGTTTCAAAAGAAGTAGTAAATGAACGTTTAATAATTTAATTGTCTCATATAAAAAGACATCTTCATTATTAATTATATAACTTAGTTTTTGTGTTTTCCTGATTTCAATTGTAAGCATTTTTTGATAAAGTTTCTTGTTTTTTGTTTGCTTTGTGTATTTTTGTTTACTAAAAATCTTGCAAAACACTTAAAAAGTTTTGTAAATTATTTTATTGTTTACATAACGATGTTGTTAAAATTTAAAAAGCGCTTGGTATCATGGCTTAAAGTAGTCCTTTGGGGGCAATCGTACTTTGATTAATGGTCACTGGGTAATAAACTCTAAAATCCGGTTACATATCCGTCCGCGACCCTAAATCCAGAATTAAATTTTGCATAAAGATGCTTTAAAACATATGCATGAAAATGTACTTTTACTTTAACCAATGCCTAAATACTTTTAACTAATGCATAAATACTTTTAACCAACGCCTAATTTTTTTTTTTTTTTTTGATGTGGCTGCGTATGGTCTTATTAACACAAATACTGTAAAAAGCTTAGATGTCTTTTTTTCCGTTAAATTTTAGAGGGCGTTAAATAAAAGAGTAAATATAATATCTAGTTTTGTAAAAAGTTGAATAAATATGCAAATGACGAGCATATATCAAAGTGAATACCATGAACAAAGTTAGTTAAATTTTTTGCTATTTCAACAACATAACAAAATTGCTTATGCAGTAAAAACAATATATAATTGATTTTCTTTAATTTTAGCATGTTAAGTCCATAATTTTTTGTTCTTATCTTGTTAAAATCTTATAAAATGGTTTGTTGTATTAAATGTATCTAAGCAACCTATTTTTATATTTAAGATTTTATATTTAAGTTATTTGGTCTCACTTTCTAATGGTTATGGTTTCTAGTGGTTAATAGGTTTGTGGTTAAATGGTTTCTAGTGGTTAAATGGTTTCTAGTGGTTAATAGAAAGATTGATAGTTTTTGAGGTTATGAATAACTTAACCTGCTCAGTTTTAATGTAAAACTAATAATTTAAGACCATGTATCCAAATTTTTGAAAAAGGTAAAATAGAAAAAATTATTGCTTGAAATTCATCTAAGGCAAAAAAAAGTTTAGGTGCTTTGATGAAAGGTGGGCGAAAAAAACTTTTAAATGCACTGGCTATTTCAATTTTTGCATCAACCATTGAATGATTGGAAATCTCACCTGCATAGTTCAAAAATTCTTAAAGATCCGTACTTAGCAAGATCTTGCAAGACGTATTACACCAAAAATACGAGTGTGCATTAGAATATATTTGAAGATCACAAATCTAGACCTTTAAATCACGGAAATAAACTAAGAAAAATATATGGAGGTTCAACAAGTCCAAAACTTGCTTAACGTTTTTATAGTTATTTTGAAGAACTTTAAAAACTTATCAGTTAACGACGATTAACATTGGAATCTTTGTCCAAAATGTTTGTCGTTTGCAACAAACGATTGTCATTTAAATTATGCAAACATTTTTTGGTGCAGTACAAATAAAAATAAAACTAAAAAACTTTTTAACAAACAAAAACATGCAATCAGAATCATATCCAATGTGGGACGTTTTACACATTCTCATGCATTGTTTATTAAGCTAAATATAATGGATATCTACCAAATAAACATCTATCATCTTCTAATATTTATGTTCAAAATTAATAAAAATTCATCTTTTAAAATATTTAACCCGCTATTAAAAATAAATCAGAACAGATACTTTACCAGATACTCGTATAACAGCTACCATCAGCCCTCAAATTGTTATGCGGCTACTAAATTTTTAATTTCTACTAGAGGATCAAAAGTATGGAATAAAATATTAACTAATGATCTTAAACAATTGCAACGCTTAATGAGTTTAGGACCAAATTGAAGCAAAGACTGTTGATGAGCAACGTAGCGCATGGTTTCTTCTAATGTATATGTAAAGGTGTATACTGGTTTAAAAGGAAAGTTTCATTATGAGTATTTGCGTGCATTCTTTTTAAGTATATAATTTTTCGCTATTCTATAGTATTTGCTTTTACTTTGGTATTTAATTTTTGTTCTTTTGTTATATTAAAATATGAAAAAAAAGTAGATTTTTATAGTTAGAGAGGGGCATTCAGGACCTATGGATTTTATCTTTTTGTTTGTTTGTTGTTTGCTTCTTATAAATATAAAAAGTCTATATAACAATATTTTATATGCTGTAATGCTGTAATTTTACGATTTTTATATTTTATTATTGTGTATTACGGTATAGATTAAGGGGCTTGGCGATAAGACAAATGTCTTCTTCTTGCCCCTGCTATTTATATTTACATATGTTTTATGTTATGAATAAATTTATAATGCAAAAAAAAAAAAAAATTTTGTTTCCAAATAAAAAATCACAGAACATCACATAACTAGAAAACATTAAATTGCCGGAGCCAGAAAGAATTGATTCGGTTGAATAAAATTTACCAGTTAAAAACATTATTCATGACGAAAAACATATTCTGCCCGCAAAACATAACAGTGAAAGTACCGAATGTCCAAAAACGAAGAAACAGCCATCAATTCTTTAAAATCCGACTAAAATCAAACAATTAAAAACAAGTTTTGTGACTTTCGACCAGTTTTGGTATTGTTTTACTTAGCTTTGGTATTGTTTTACTTAGCTTTGCTACATAAAACATTACTAAGGCTGTTAAATAATATATATATAAATTATATATATTAAAATTATTAATTTCTGCTCATATAAATTTATATTATACTATGCGTTGATGTGTACAATGTGAAAATAAGTACACGAAGTGTGTTTTTTTCTAACGTCAAACAGTACAAAAGTGCTTTTTTACTTCAACTGTGATAAACCCAAACATCAGATATATGTTTTAATTTTTTTCATATTAAATATTATATTCAAATTTGGAAAACAGTATGTGCAAATACGACATTTACTAGATTGTTTCCAAAATTCTACAAATAAGTTTTCAACACCGTTACAATTCCATGAAAGTGACTAAAATTTTAACTTTTTAAAAAATAGATTCATAAATTTTAACTTACTATCAAAAATTTAATATTTGCAATATCTTAAGCTGGTAAGCATAACATGATGGTTAATTAATTTTTGTTTTTTGGTGTTGTGCAAGTGTGACCTTGGTCACAAATCATACTTCGTAAAACATTTTTACAAAGTAATTAAAAAATACATTTCTTAAATTTAAGCACTGTTGATTTAATTTTAAAGTTATATATTAAAATAGCAAAAAATAGAAAAAATAATTTTAACGGAAAAGAGTTGATTTGGAATTATTGGTTATTATAAGTATATTTAAAGGACAAAACTTACTTTTGTCCTTTAAATATACTTATAATAACCAGCAATCGATTTGTTCCGATTTCATAAAACTAGTTAAAATTTTTGTTAGTTAATCGAAACGATTTAATCGAAACGGTTGTTGTTTTAAAACCAATTACGTTTTCAAATTTAAATAAAATTCAATGTTCAATGTATTTTAATTAGTATGATTAAGTAGTTGATAATGTCAACTTAATTAGTCTTTCAGTTAATCTTATATTTATTATTTATTATAAATATTATATATATAAACTGTTTAAACTAAAGAGTTATTGATTTTAATACTAATAAAAAAAATTCGTCATTTTGATCGACATTATATTGGTTTATAATGCAAACGTACAATTATTTTTTCCGCTTTTAAAATAGTTTTTAAATAGATAAAAATTTAAAAATATAAGTTTTAAATTATTTTAATAATTTTGTTAAAAAATTGTGAGTGCTTTTTACTTAACGCAAGTTTAATTTATATTTAAATAATATAATTTAATTATTGTGTGGAGTTCATTTTTGTATGAAATTAATTCCTTCCATAGTTCTTTCACAGGGCCCTTTCAAGGGCCCTGTGAAAGCCAAAATAAATTTTGGCTTTCACAGGGCCCTTTAATCTAGGTCCCAGGTCCCTGCGAAGCTTCGAAATTTTGAATCAAATCGAATCAAAAAATGATTGATACGATTCGAAAATTTTTAATAATTGAATCCTTACTTATTTTGTTTTGTTGAGGGGATTTTAGATATTCTGCGCTTTGGCGCTATTAAAATAACGTTACTTATCATTAAATATCTTTTTAATAAGTCATTAAAAGATTAACCAGGGCAAGAAGCATCAATAAAGAAATTATACAATTGTTTTATTTTATTTTGAATTATAAATTATTATTGAAAAAATGCTTAAATTTAGACTTCAAAATGTCGATTCGAAACGTGGTTCGAATCGCGAATCAAGACCTGCTTTGATTCGAGATTCAATTCGAAACAAAAACTGTCGATTCGCAGGGCCCTACTTTAATCCAATCTTTTTTGATTTTCTATTTAACGATTTTAGAATATCAGAATTGTAAAGCATATTGCAAAACAAATAAAAACAATAATTTAAAAAATAATTGCAGCTAATTTCAAAATTTGCGTAATCATTACTGAAGTCTCAAGTATTTAAAGTTATTTAAGTCTGTGCTAGTAATTTTTATGAAATCTTACATTTTTTTTGGTTTAGTTCATTTTAGATTACAAAACTTGAAGCATATTTTTAATGTCCAAATGCAAACGTAAAAGTTAAATAAACCTTTTGAAAGAAAATATGTTCGGGTTTCGTTCCGATAGACCAAGCGAAAAAAGTCAAGTGTAGATCATATTAACTTGACATTGCTTAAACCATCGTCTTCAGCTTGTTTTTGATGACACTGTTAACAAAATAAAAGATTCATTTCAAACTGTTTATGTATAAATTTACTTAATTTTTCTTTTATCTAATAAAAAACAACAAAACAAGCAGCATGCAGCTTGATATCTTTTTT